TTATTCTTGACTGGTGGTCCTATCATTGACAACATCATTACATCTGTAAATATGCACTCTTAATATTTTCATTAACTACCACAGCATAAATATGACAGTCACACAACTGCTCCCTCTCTCTTCTCTCCCCCTCTTTTCCACCCACCTCTCCTCTCTTCCCCATTTTTCTCTGCTCACCACAACCGGTCGAGGCAGAACATTCAGTCTGTTTATGCTGGAAGTTTCTTCCAATGAGGGAGATTTTTCTCTCCACAGTCGCCAAAGTGTTTTCTCAATGTGGGAAATAAAATGTGTAAGGTCTCGGCCTTAAGTGCATTGCGATAATGTTATAATATCGAAATGAACAGAAATGATGTATTATTATTATTATTATTATGTAACAATGTTTGTGTCCTAGGCTAAGTGCCTCGCCTCCTCCTCTCTCCTCCGTCGTCTCCTTGCATACAGGCCTCGATGGATTAATCATGGAGCCTTCCCGAGGATCTCATAACTTAATTCCTTCAGGCCAGCGATCGGGGGGAAGTAATTAATCTATACTGTGGATGTAAATAAAAGGAAATTGGATTCCTGACAGACGAGATGAGAGACTTTCTGACACCACGTCGCCAAATAATGATTTCATCGCATGTTATGGTAACACAGGCGCTTAGATTTACGAGCGCCCAATTTCTTTTTAAAGCTCAGCTGTGAGCGGGAGGGAGCCGGCCTTTATACACTGATCGCAGCTGTTAGGAGCCCAGGTTAAGATGGATTAGATCATTAATTATTACAACATGAAATATACAAAGGAGAGCGCACGTATATTGGGTTGATTTTGGAACTGCGTCGCGCATGTTCTTGTTTTTGTCAGTTTTATAAATACACCAAAACAAAAGATATATATATTTATATATAAGAGCTCCCAGCGAGGGCTCCGTTGATCTAACAATGCGCAGGGAGGTTGGCCTTTGGACGGAAATGTCAAACCGGGGATGTGGATGGGTAGATCCCCCAGATCTGCACTCATTTCCCACTCATATTTGCTCAGTAATCCGCTGTGGCAGCCCTCCATCGCCCGGGACCCGGTTTGAGAGGCGATGCTGTTGACACAGGGGTATATTTCAATCACAGAGGGTTCAGAGTCAGGCGAACAACTTATTTGTCTAATAAATCCGTCATTTAGTAAGAAAAATATTTGATCTTGAGGGGCTGACCTCTTGTCATGTAGCCACTGACAGATAAAAAATGGGTGCTTGGATATGCAGGTAGCCTGCATACCAACAAGCACACAATAGATTCACATTTGTATGGGACAAACACACACACACACACATTCACACACACACACACACANACACACACACACACACACACACACACACACACACACACACACACACACCGCACATCAAAAAGATCAAAGTCTGCCAGCACACATCTTCTTATTGTTGCATTTGTACAAACACAAAAACAGCTAAAGACACCGAAAAGTTTTTGTAGTCTAGAGGAGAAATGGAGGATGAAGCGATTTAAGTGTCCAGAAAACCATCTTATAAAAAAACAGATCTGTGGAGCGACTGAGGCTTTGATTATTCAAACGTCTGTGACGTTATTCTACTAAAATCTTCTGGGTGTAATTTTGACATCAAGACAATTAAAACAGACAACGTTTAAAGTCAGGACTCGTCACACAAGTGTTTTTCCTTTGAGTTAAAAAGACAATTGTTCATCCAAACAGAGCAGTGAAGCAGTTGGATAGTAAAGCACATTTTGGACGTGGAAACAAATAAAACGAGACGTGATCGCAGCTTTAGAGTTTAACATCATCCAAATGAGATGAGCAGCTGAAGCCTGCAGAATGCCAAATTGATATTTTGGGTATTGGACTTCATTAGAGAGGTCCAGGCCTGCACAGCTGATCAAGTTGTAACTGCAGTGTGTCTCCATGAAGCAGTTTATTCACACAACTTCATCTGTCCAAATTCACCATCTGCTGCAGTTCTCACTTTTCTCCCTAACTTCTTTTTGTAAGTGATCCAGAATGTTGCAACAACTACAAGCCAACTTTGTTTTACACTGTTCCATGTATCCTGTAGAGTCCACTCTAAATATGAACTTTACAAACTCACATCTGAGGCAGTCAAACAGCCTGAAAGTCGTCTCACATGCCCCTCATGTCGCTTTGTTTTGATCGCCATGCGAGCGTGACTGAAAAACTTGCTTCTCCTCACTCCAGCTGATCTTCATAGGCAATCATGTGCCAAGCAGAGCTACAAGCAGCAGTTTGTAACAGTGATGATGTGCAAAGAGAGAGCGGAGCAAGAACCTGCACATGTGACTGCAGAGCCCTGAAATCACTCAGAGGACGTCTGTGATCGCCAGCTCTTTGTGATTGATGATGCTTAAATATATTTGTTGAAAACAAAACAAGCTCCAGGTCATTAAATGCTGTTGATGGGTTCTTAATTTCATCCTTATCTTTCTTTGCAGTTGGTGGACGGAGCTGCAGGAACGGAAATCCAAAGAAATCCTCACAACAACACCTGACTATTTTTTAAGCCTCTAGTTTTTTTCGCCGCTGCACTTGACACTCTTACTGATGAAGTGTGGCGCTAAAGCATCAAAACACTTGTCAATGTCTGCACCGGGTTCTTTGCGGGATGTTTCACCTCATTCAGAAATTACACCTTACTAACTATGTCTAAATGTCACTTCATGCAAAATGTGCCTTATTCCCTAAATGTCATTTATTTCCCCACTCCTGCCTCTTATAGCTGTCATGGCCCCGGGGGCCGAGTGCTCATTGAACCATTGTATTGAACCCATTTCCCTGTAGTCATTACCTGCACGTGCTGCAGACAGAAGGTGCAGGGTCGAGAGGGGAGA